ATTAGAGCGGTAACCTCTTGTCTAGGGATCAGGCAGGAAAGAAATACAACGCCCTCGGTAACCTGCGTGACAAAGATGGAAAGTGAGGTACAGCGACTGCATGAAACAGAGGGTTGAGTCTTGGGCCAAATCGATATTTTCGTCTACTCTAATAGACAAATAGCGTGTTAATCTGTATGGGAATCTTATAACCCAGCCGTCACATAACGCAGGTTAGAAATTTTACTACTCAGCTTTGTAAAGAAAACATGATACATGATTACCGTCAGACATTATAATTCTTCGTTACAATAAAATCTATTTTATATTTGAACCTGTACAAATAGAAATTCCGTTACGAACTGTATTCAGGGACACTTCAACTAATCACAGACCGTTTATAACCCTTCGTTTAAGGGCAAATTAAACAGCCAACGCTATGAATAACGCTGAAAAAATTAGGCTTACACCTTCCTTCTATATCCGGCCGTTAGCTACAACGTTTTTCTATGATATCGTTTATTAAATTTTAACGGTCGCTCAGGTTGTCAAGTAAAAGATGAAAACAAAATAGCCATATAAAAACGCGTTATACTCGCAGTCACTTTTCATTCCGTAAATAAATTATTTTTTATGACAACGGGCGTAAAATTACAGCAGCAAAACTCGAAGGCTCAACACCGAACGTCATGGCCGATGAATTCCGGACGTCCCGGGTTCAAATCTCGGCAGCGAGCTTTTCGTGGTTTCCCTCAGTCCATCCATGCAAATTCCGGGACAGTATTAGGCCACGACCGCTTCCTTCCACATCCTTTCCAATTCACTATCATCGTCTCATTCGACGCTATATAGTCTGAGCTGAAAAAAGCGTCGTTAAATAAATAAATAAACAGGTTTACTAAAGCCCGTCCGTCAACTTGCGCGATCCCAAGCCACTTGAATCCACATACTGTCCTCACAACCTACGTAAGATCCAATTCGACGTTTCCCAAAAGTCTCCCATAATTTTGTTTGCATTCCTTGTTTCTCTCCAATTATCAGACATACGCTCCATAAATTATAGCCTCCTGGAATTCCATAGCCTAACAATATTAGGCGGTCTGAATAAATCATCCTCATTATGTATGCCTAATACCTAAAATATCTCAGGTATTCCTTCTCAGATCCAAATATTTTACTGAGCACTATTTTCAGACTCTTGCAATTTACGGTTTTCCCCATAAAGGACCACATTTCACACCCACACGAAACAAGCAGAAAAAATATTTCATTTAGATTTTAGATTCTATGCCGGCGAAGATGTTTTTCTTGGTCTGCTCGATCGTAAACCCGCGCAGACTCCCAAGCAGAAATAAAAGGTTTCGAACGAGCATACTGCATCAATCTACAGCTGCAGGTCTGAAGAAGTTCCTCCAAAATGCATGTATCTACTGCGTTACATCCTACAAGACCAACAATGACAAAACTGTTTTGTTAATTCAAGTTTTTAGCAATTTTTAAACTTCTTGACAGCAATGTTTTAAGTACATAATAAAAAGTATGTACACTGTTAGTTCTTCTCTTCATTTCTGTTTCTTAGTTCTGTCCCACTTAGTCCTATTTAAATTCTCAAACATTCTCAAGTGGTTTATGACGTAGTGTTGCATTACGACTGTTTCTGTTTGTTTCCGCCTTACTTTCATTGTTTGCCGAGGGCTGGTAAGAACCGACACACCGGTTTACAACCTCTTATCTAATTATTATGACAGTTCACGATTAAATTAATTACTACGTTTGTATAACAATAACGCTCGCAGATTTGTAACCAGTTTAAATGTTGCTTGGGTTGCTGTGGTCTTCGTGATTTTACTTCGCCTCTCCAGACAAATGCCGAAGTACGCCACTATTACATCCTAGCAAATCCTTACCTGTCCACATTTTAAACCTCTTCCTATATTCTCATGAAACGTAGTAGTTGAATAACTTTAAAAAATAATCTACGACGAAATTCATTCGGAAATAAAACTATCACTCTCAAGAAGCACGTTGGGCGATTTTCAATCAAACAAGTGACGTTTTTACACGTTCCTTGGCCTAACTGAAAGTCGATGTTAAGTGAATAGGAAAAACTCGAGATAAAACAGCAGTGATACAATCGCTTCTGACGTCTCCTCCTGACAACTTTTCCATTACCACTTCTTGTCAGTCAACGTATATATTTCGACCTCTAATTCCATTTCCTCTTCTTCAGAATTAAGAAATACGCCAGGGAACTTAGAAAATGATTTTTTTGTTTTTCCCATAAAGTTGTTCGACTCACTATACTGTCAGAAACCGTTCATGCAAGCTGCTTCGCGTCGTAGCTACAAAACCAATACAAAGGCCATAATGCAACAAAACTTTATCTAACTCCTTGCAGTAAATTTCTTCAGAAGCTGATTATTACTCGGCTGGCGAAGAAAATCCCTGCCTTCTATATAACCCGAAGGTTCACTATCGTGTTCACAAGACCAGGAACTGGACACCATCCTGAACCAGATGAAAACAGTCCACACTGTCACACTATTTAAAATCCATTTTAATATTATCCTCCCATCTACGCCACCCCCTCAGGTTTTAGGACTAGCATACTTTTTGCATTTCTCATCTCTCCCCTGTGTGCTACATACCCCGCCCATCTTCACCTGTTACGGATTCGTCGTCCGTTTCTCCCGATTCAGAATTAGTTCTAAAACAACGAATCCGAATTACTATGTTTATTAAAACCCCTAAGACGGGGAATCCCAAGTTTTCGAACGGAATACACTGTTAAGAAACACGAAGATTCATCGCTGTGGTCACAGAGTCCCGGCCTTCGAGCCAATTCAGTCCACTTTATACCTTGACAATCTATGTCTTTAATATCCGTTTTAATATCATCCCCCTCATATACGCCTACCCCTCTGCTGTTTTACAACTGCGTATACATTGCTTGTTTCTCCAAAATGATGTTATACGTATGTCTCGCCCATCTCACCCTACTTAACTTAATCACATCAACAATATTAGAAGGACGTGCTCTTCAGAACACCGTAACGAATATTCTGGCTCGAAAAGAGGCAGATAATTTCTTTACCGGGCGAAAGATCGTCAAATTTTCAAGGAGAATCCTCCTCCATGGAGTTACTCTTATCAAAACAAGGATATCTGTCATTCTCTTTAGGGGTATTCTAAACCGTGTTGCCCTTTTGGGTACATATCTCAATATTTCTTTATACATCCTTAGTCTTCCATTCTCTTCTTCTTCTTCTATGGCTCCTCAATTCTCCTCTTCCATTCGGTCCTATCCTCCGCTCGATGTTTTTCGAAACATCTTCCTTTTTACGGTGCAAGGTTGTTAGCCTTGCGACCAACCCCCAACCTGGAGGACCTGTCTTAGTCTGACCTCTCCCTAGGGAGGCCCTACCAGTAGCTATGCTACCGCCAGCATAGCTCTTAGTCTTCCATTCTTTACACACAATCAATCCACTTGTCCCTCGTCCATCTTATTTAGTTCAATGATGCTTTATCTCTGTCATATGTATTCGATATCCTCTCTGTCTAACAATTATGCCCTTTCAACACGTCTCACAAACCCCATTTAAAAAAGTTAAAACGTGTTTTTATCACCTTTTCTTCACCACCGGCAAAACGAAACATAAAGAGACCTCAAAGATAAATCTCACCCAAATTACATAATATTTCATATTTAAGTTCTATCTCCATTTTCAGCGTAATTAAATTTAAAATAGACGAGGAAGTCGTTAAATACGGAAATTTAACAAAACCCCTGAAATCATTGTTTGAAAGAAATGCATTATTTACCTTCGAGGCAAGTGGCAGGTCTACATACAGTTAACTGTATCCTATAAAAGTTAAGACGCCAATAAATCTATTGAATGTGTCACACGCCGTGTTTCTTAATGGGCCACCATGTATGCAGATAAGCCGGTAACCACCCTCAGGCAAGAGAAGTGATGTAGGATTTGAGGTTTCCACGGCGGTGAGTTTGAAGATGGCTGTCTTCTAGGTTGTTGCGCCTGTAGTCTGGTAGAAGTTTACAGACGTTTTAGACGTACTTGCTGCCTCCATCATCAGGACGATGAGTCGGTAAATTTCTACTAGACTACACGGTGCAACAACCTAGAAGACAGCCATCTTCAAGAGAAGTTATGTCTGATCGGTTAACAACAGCTGTCATTATTATAATAAATCGGCGGTTGCAAGTAGGTCTTTGATGCAGGTCAGCCTGCGGGGATGTGGAAATCTGAGAGAGAGCGAGAGAGAGAGTGAGTGACCATTACATTCCAGCAAATTGGCAAGAGGTTGCTATACACATCCTGCTTCATCATCAGCTGGCCTACAACATTTATCCGCATGTCAGGTAACAGGTGGTGCTGGAGAGATGCGCAACTGTCAAGACCCTGACCACCAGCTGAAGGTCCAGACAGATAATGCTTTCATCATGTACTTTACTGCATGTGAGCATTTTAAACTCATTCTCTAGCAAAGAGCACGATGGTTCAATACCACTTACACCAAAGCCCACGATTGGATACAATCCTGAGCCAGTTAGCATACTCAGGACATATTTATCTAATATATATCCTTGATTTCGCCTGTAATTAAATATACAACGACGATATATTTGACAATGTTTGTGACAGACACGGTTTAATTTAAACCAGCAACACAACCTGTATGTTTCCTAACACTTTTCTTCACTTTATGCCTAAACTGAAGAGGATTTCAATTAAACTTGGTAAACAAGATACCAAATAATCGTCCACAAAATCACGTAGGAAGTACTGAAATTTATGAATGAAAATTATGCACTTTGAGATGAAATATGCCATTCCATTTTTCTTAGATCTGAGGTTTTGACGACGGCGACGATGTTGGACGTCGGTCTTCTGAGTTGTGATGCTGAGAAGACCACGACCTACACATTCGAATCTCGTTAACATGTAAGCGCCTATATACATTTCAAATGTCATTTGTCGTTTGATATTTGAGATTCTTACGGCGATAAGTATGAGCATCGTCCTCTGAAGATGAAGGCGGTAACTTCCTCTGGAACGCTTGTAACCACCTACAAGACAAGAGTAATGGTGTCACAACCACGATCCCCACTTCCTGTTGTATTCTTTTCGTTAACACAATCTATCCTTGGAAAGTTGATGGTCACCCAACCGGCCCAGACTTTACCTGCTTTCATTGAACCAGAAGGTTCAACAGCGTCTTTACGAAAGGCCGCCAACCGAACATATCCTAAACCAGACTGAACCAAACCTCACTTATCAAAGATGTGTTTTAATATTATCCTCCCATTTCAGCCTACATCTTCCAACTGGTCTTTTTTCATGCTGTTTTAATGCCCTACATATCTCGCTCAACCCATACTCTTTAATGTAAACGCCCTAACAATGTTGTCGAAGGGTACAATTTATGAAGACTCTCTGCCTCTATGTTTTCTCACCCCCCTGTTAATTCCTTGTAGTTAGGTACAAATATTCTCACGCCCTCTACACGCGCATGAATATTACATATTACGGAGTAGCGTCTTAATTAATATCTTTCTCCAGACTTGTTAAGGCGATCGAATCAAGGGCAGGAGGCAGCAAGACACAAACACCTTTGAAGAAACGAGACTATACACATTTTAGTCGAGATATGTGAAGCGAAGGGGCGACTGGGAATGCATCGAAGGATAATATTCACTCATCTCTGAATATTTATTAATATCACCGTTGAAAAATATACGAATTCTCTCAAAGATTATTTTCAATGCCAGATGCAGATAACAAGGGAAACAATTTTGAAACGTCATCAGCGGATGGTGTAATGTTATTGAATACAGTGGCATCTGTGAAAAGATATCTGAATCATAATCCCTTGTTAAAGTGGTTCAAGAAAATGAATCACTGTGAACAGCGTGTTTTAGTAGATTTTAAAGAAATAGGGATTGAACTGGCTCAGGACATGATAAAATGGCCGACTCATGTCAACGCATTAAGAAACCTCTGGGTGCCATAAAAGACGGAAAATGTTTTAACCACCTGAGCGACTATCAGAATGTCATTCAGGAATTTACCCTTACAATTGTTATGTTGAAAAAATGTGGTGGATAATAAAAAAAACAGAAACAAACTGTGACCATCATAACTATGTGAGAAACAGACTCAGCCTCTATGTAGAGATCTCAACTAAATAAATAAATATCCAGAGGAATTCCTATTGTCAGTAAGAAAACTCCAGCCTTTCTATGCAGTTTATAAACAACAAAAGTTTCAAGAATGAAACAAAAAATACTTCAGGTCCTTTTGTTGACATACGACCTACGAAGTCAGTAGAAAATAACTTTATGGGTTCTTAAAAAAGCACGTCACGATCAACGATCTGTCGCTCTGTGTATTGTATCTAAAGCTCGGGATTTGAACATCTGGGGCCCATTCCATTCCACATGAGATTTACAGTAAAGAAAGCTGGGCTATGGCTGGTTCAACCCCCCACATCCAACATAATCTTTGTAGCTGCAAATGTCTTACAACGATAAAGACGGTCGTACGGAGAGCGTGTTTAAAAAAAGGACTCCCTGCAGATTAAATTGCTATAGGCGCAGAATAGCCACTTTGTTCAAGACTGGGACATTTACTGCATGGATATGACGTCACGCGTACATTAGAGAGTAAATCTTATAAATCCATGCCGTATACCGGGGTTCCCAGCCTTTAAAACTCTGAGGTCATATTCACCTATCTTAACGACTCTTGACAATAAAAATATGAATGAGGCCAATTTACTGGTAAGGACATGACGATTTAGAATTAAAAATGCTACCAACTTACTATTACATACAGGTCACATATACTTCTACAGTTTTGAAGATTTCTGTCTTCTGGGTTGTTGCGCTGTGCAGTCTGGTCGATGTTTACCAACGTTTCAGAGGTCATACTGCCTCCGTCATCAGGGCGATGAGTATGAAGATTTCTGTCTTCTGGGTTGTTTGGCTGTGCAGTCTGGTAGATATTTACTAACGTTTCAGAGGTCATACGGCCTCCGTCATCAGGGCGATGAGTATGAAGATTTCTGTCTTCTGGGTTGTTTGGCTGTGCAGTCTGGTAGATATTTACTAACGTTTCAGAGGTCATACGGCCTCCGTCATCAGGGCGATGAGTATGAAGATTTCTGTCTTCTGGGTTGTTTGGCTGTGCAGTCTGGTAGATATTTACTAACGTTTCAGAGGTCATACGGCCTCCGTCATCAGGGTCAATCGATCACAATAATATAAAGCTATATCAACGTAAAACGTCCTGACTTGTAAACGGCAGCGAATCTGAAAGAAGTTTGTTTACATTTTCTGCTCCAAGCTGTCTCCCCAACAACCTCCTAAGTATTGCACCAGAAATTTGAATCTTTCTGATTATTAGTGGCTTGAGGTTAGCTCGGATAATTGTTTTTTCTATGGAGAGACAACCGTGAAAAATACTCGCCATCACTGGACTACGTCTTAGCGTACCGTCATTCTGAAGGCAGAACATACCTTGTTTACCTAGTAGGCACAACAGAGTCCAAAACGGAGTACCAGATTATTTTCCCCCAGAAAACATTAATGAGAAATATATCTAAAGTATCGAGATGTCGTTCTATAGAATGAACTGTTTCAGAATTTAACAGTTCAACACGAAATTATAATTGTGGCCACTCATCGCCCTGATGATGGAGACATCGTACCATGTAGAAACGTGGGAGAATATCAGTAAAGAGGTACACGCATTTGTAATATTGGCATTAGGCGGATAATCGTGCTCAGTTTCACGCCCCGGCCGGTTTATTCTGGAAGGATCAGCCTTCAGTGTCTATTGGAACTGTAATTTTACGTGTCATTGCTTCCTTAATATTTGAGAGGAGCAGTGAGGCCATTTAAATTGTATGTATGCAAATATTGTCGTCAACTCTCGGCCCACTTACGTGTTTTGTGGGCCGACGTTCGTTTTTTGGAAAGTAAAGTAATTCTGTTTGATGAATAACTGTTATCTGATAAGTGTATCTTAGGAACATGGCTGTTTTGGCAATTGCTCTGCGTAAATAACGCTATCAAGGACCATCAGCAAGAAACGCCCTGTCTCTTCCTGACGACGCTTACAGGGGGTGTATGTGAATAGCAACAGAAGTTAAGTCGATATTGATCGATTACTCAGCCAAAAAACAATGTTAAATGGAACGCTAGTGATTGGTTTTGTTAAAGAAAATTGTAGGGTATGATTTGAGGTTTTCGCAGCGGTGAGTATGAAGATTTCTGTCTTCTGGGGTGTTGCGCTGTGTAGTCTGGTCGATGTTTACCAACGTTTCAGAGGTCATACTGCCTCCATCATCATCCCTCTGATGACGGAGGCAGTATGACCTCTGAAACGTTGGTAAACATCGACCAGACTACACAGCGCAACACCCCAGAAGACAGAAATCTTCATACTCACCGCTGCGAAAACCTCAAATCATACCCTACAATTTTCTTTAACAAAACCAATCACTAGCGTTCCATTTAACATTGTTTTTTGGCTGAGTAATCGATCAATATCGACTTAACTTCTGTTGCTATTCACATACACCCCCTGTAAGCGTCGTCAGGAAGAGACAGGGCGTTTCTTGCTGATGGTCCTTGATAGCGTTATTTACGCAGAGCAATTGCCAAAACAGCCATGTTCCTAAGATACACTTATCAGATAACAGTTATTCATCAAACAGAATTACTTTACTTTCCAAAAAACGAACGTCGGCCCACAAAACACGTAAGTGGGCCGAGAGTTGACGACAATATTTGCATACATACAATTTAAATGGCCTCACTGCTCCTCTCAAATATTAAGGAAGCAATGACACGTAAAATTACAGTTCCAATAGACACTGAAGGCTGATCCTTCCAGAATAAACCGGCCGGGGCGTGAAACTGAGCACGATTATCCGCCTAATGCCAATATTACAAATGCGTGTACCTCTTTACTGATATTCTCCCACGTTTCTACATGGTACGATGTCTCCATCATCAGGGCGATGAGTGGCCACAATTATAATTTCGTGTTGAACTGTTAAATTCTGAAACAGTTCATTCTATAGAACGACATCTCGATACTTTAGATATATTTCTCATTAATGTTTTCTGGGGGAAAATAATCTGGTACTCCGTTTTGGACTCTGTTGTGCCTACTAGGTAAACAAGGTATGTTCTGCCTTCAGAATGACGGTACGCTAAGACGTAGTCCAGTGATGGCGAGTATTTTTCACGGTTGTCTCTCCATAGAAAAAACAATTATCCGAGCTAACCTCAAGCCACTAATAATCAGAAAGATTCAAATTTCTGGTGCAATACTTAGGAGGTTGTTGGGGAGACAGCTTGGAGCAGAAAATGTAAACAAACTTCTTTCAGATTCGCTGCCGTTTACAAGTCAGGACGTTTTACGTTGATATAGCTTTATATTATTGTGATCGATTGAGTGTTCGTGGATGTACAGAAAATTGAAGCGCGATTATCAGACTCGGACAGTTGTATCGGTAACAAGTCTGAAATTTCCCCATTGCACGAACAGAAAAGTACTCCAAAAGGAGTACTCTGAAATGACGATTAGAAAAATGTTACAACGGGAAGAATTTCCTTGCTTTTTTATAACAAATAAGGAAATCGTATATTATTTGTATTCTAAACTCGACGATCACAATAATAAAAGCGATATCAAAGTCTAAGTCATAACTTGGAAACAATGGCGAATCTGAAAAAAAACAACTGAATTTATGTTCTCTGCTTCAAATGACCTCCCCAACAATCCCTTAAGTATTGTACTAGAGTTTTGAATCACCCTGTATACGAGGTGCGATTGGAAAGTTTCAAGACTGTGTCAATAGAGGGCGAGCCGGATGTAGTACGAGCTTCTGCCTTTAGGGGGTGCGGCCTACATTCATAGTGAATCAGTGTGCCAGCCGGCATCATCGAATTAGCATTTGTTTCTTAGTTACGGGCGTTTTGGTAGTGCATTACACCGACCCTCCTGCGATTTCGGAATGGCGGATTTTCATGAACGAATCAAATTTTGCCAAAGACTCGCCAAAACGGCTACGGAAACCTATGAAATGCTAAAGCAAGCATTTGGGGAGTCCGCAATGGGTCGTGCACAAACTTTTGGGTGGCATTCACGTTTTAAAAATGGCCGAACCCCTGTCGATGATGACGAGCGTTCTGGACGACCATCTCCGAGCACAACGCCCGAAAATGTTACGAAGATCGACGTCGTACCATCAACGACTTGTGCGACATTGTTGGGATAGGCTATGGGACCTGTCAGCTGATTCTAAAGGAAGAACTCCACATGCGACGCATCCTGTCTGAGGACCAGAAGCAGAATCGACTTGACTTCTCGTTTGTCAGGAGCTCAAAGATCTTGCAAGAACCGACCCAAACTTCCTTTCTAAGCACTTATTCGCCGTAGAAGAGATTCAGGCAGAATCGCAGATGGTGCTTGACAGGCTGGCAAAGAAAGATTTCCAGGGATGCTTCCAGGCTTGGCAGCGGCGCTGGGATCGGTGTGTTCACTCCCAGGGGAACTACTTCGAGGGTGATGGATGAATTTAATACCTGAGATAAGTGTACGGGTTTTTATACGCGCAGTCTTGAAACTTTCCGATCGCACCTCGTACATAAAATGTGTGCCCGTCGATACAATTACCAGCCACTTTCAACACAAACAGTTTATTTTTGAATAAATAAAAGTATTTTATATGGGGCCTCTCTAGTTTTGTAGGAAGCGTTAAATAGACTTCACTGCAGCGTTCAAATTCCATTCTCATGCAAATATGCCGTGTCCGGGTATTATTCAAAGTGCCCTCGCGTGTCATAAGTTCGCAATCTCTTGATATAGTCCTTCGGCCAAGTGCGCCATTGCTAATAATGGCATGCGGATCATTTTAATATTTTTAGCAGAAACGATGTTTCCTTTAAGAACACTTTCTCCACATGGAAAAAGTGTTAAGATTGTTTATGTTTAGTTTTTCTTAATGTATCTTTTCGCCTTTCCCTGTCACAGACTACTTGCTGTTGTCAATGCTGCAGAGGAATCGAACTGAACATCACTGGACTCTCAAATTAACGTCGAAAGATATCGTATTCTGTCGATACTTCAGCCGGAACTTGGGTATCCCGTAATTTCCTTTATTCGGCCTGTCTACGATAGTTCAAAGCAGTGCACTTATGATTGGCTGTTTAGAGATCCGTGCAGTAATTAAACGTCTGATAGCACCAGAAATAACGTTACAGCGGTAATAGCGGTACCGTTAGACGATAGGAAGTGGAAGTGAGATAAAATTGGGCAGGAGAAGAAAATGGCTGTTTTTTCTGTTTGTTGTTTCGACAGGACCAATACAAAAGTTAAGCAGAGTTCTTCTTGTATGTTTTATCAGCGAGTAAAGCTGCCTAACCCAGTTCGTTAAAATGTGTCCCTGACGAGTCCATAGCCGATTTACAGAAAGTAGTTGAGGAGGCAGATTCGTATCTCTTTCGAAACTATCCTGACAAGGCGAACACCGACACATTATCTTCGAATAGGGTGAGATTGCCACATTCGCAACCTCATCATTCATTATTTTCTAGACGAGATAACTAATCAAATGTCTAGTGATTCGACAGCGAGAGAAGAAGACTAAAAAATCCATTTATTTACACGGCGCATTCCGAAAAAAAACTAATTTTAAAAGTTCTGTGTTCATCTAACCATAATACATGTCATATAGTACTGTTTGTCACTGCACGATGGAGATGTAATTGTTAAGGCGGCTTGGAGAGATTTGAGAGGCGAAGAGATAAAGCAAACATAAGCCTGGAACACATTCTTCACTAAACTGATATGAGGTGTATGATGAGTCCTTCCCTTACAGGACACTCCTTAGTTCAAACTGACAACGATAACGTGTGTACAGTAATTAATACGAACTTCAGTAATTGTCCAACTTTAATACGAGAAATCCTATCACGGTCTACGCAGAACCTTTGTTTTACAAAAGGAAATGTAGCATGCTGTATTTCTAGTGGCTTGTACGAGGCGAGTCTTCTAGCACCATTCAGCTATGATGGTTCGTAATGGACAGATCATACCGTATACTTTTTGTTCATTTAAAGACAAAACAAAACAACGAAAAAGTACGCAAAGGCAGAAGAATACTTGTAGGTCTCTGTCGGGCAGCAGTTCACACTTGTATAATTCTCGTCTTTCCCCTCTACGATTATACACGGCCAACAACCAGTGGCGAAGTCTATGGTAGTGCGCACGCAACAAGACCACTCAAATTGGAGGAATGTAAAATGAGCGTTTTATCATATATCATAAAACAGGCGTACTATTAATTATTTATCTTGGCATTTTGGTGCGACTGTTGGAGGGGGATTCAGTAACATTGCATTTCCGCACGACCCGATTTCTAGACCAGAATTCGCCACTGCCAGCAGCCTACTGTAATCTACAATTCGGAATTCAAAACAAAGAAAGAAAGAAAAGGCAGCTCAAAAACAACGCAGCTAACAGACGGTGTTTGGAATACAAGGCACCTGTAGACGAATACTGCAACACAATGACGTGTTCAGTGTTAAAATTCACAATCTAATTGGACTTGCTCGTATTGTTGCACACTCTGTTAAAACTGTTTGAGTTGTCGAAATAACTCTCTATGATATTTCTGAAGTAGCTGAAAAACCGCAGCTCCTTAAATAAGCCAACTAATAATTCCCCAGTCTGTTAAAAGAGTCGACGTATTAATCTAATTTGACCGACCTAGATCTTCCTGAAATCAGACACTTTCCAAACAGTAGATAGTCTGTTAAAGCAGCAAACCGAGAGTTGGTTAAGTGAATTATTCCCCGAGACGATACAGGAATACGACCTAATACAAAATACGTATCTACCTAGTTTCACTCACTCCTGTAACCAACGATACAACTGACTTTAGGGTCACTACACAAACGGCATTATTTACATCACCACTGCACACTTTTATAAAAATACAGAACCGTTATTTTACTATACCTGCTTTCCTGCAGCTGTGCTGGTTCACCACCGAGTTTCAAGAGACAAACAATTGACTACCACAAAGCGCACATGACAACCACAGGCCGTACGCTGACGGCTACACATGACAACACAAACCATCTGAGCTCCAACCTCTCTCGTACAAGATGACGCAAACATCTTAGTATGCCAAGAAGTTTCAACCTACTGCCGTAGGGCCGCGTTCTCCCACACCTAATTCTCCCCTCAAAGCAAGCCCCTTGCACTCGCAAACATCTCGTAAAGAAAGATGAAACGTTACTGGTGCTAATACAACGAACAGGATGTTGTCAATATGCAACACGCATTGCGGCGTTCTCCGAACATTGAGTAAGGTTGTATGAATTTAAACATTCTAACGACAGAGGTCGCTGCTTGAAGGCACGCGAAATAGTACTAAAATTTCCCAGCAGAGGCAAGTTTGTCGATGAAGACACTGCTGCCCCACACTGTCCAATTATAGTAAACATAGTCGATACGATTCTCGACTGCATATTTCGATTCACATTACACTAGTCATATTCATACTGTGACCCGCGAACCGACAAAAATAAAGAGACAGGGAAAGTCGACGAGTTATTTTGGAAAATAGTAATGGGAATACCAAACACGGTAGCAAATTGAGCATGTGTGAAAAACTGAAAAGAACAAATAGGAAGGAGAAAGGAGCATAGAAAATCCTTAAGTATAGGCAAAGATTGTGGGAAATGGACGAAATGATCTTATTGGGAGATGCATTAAAACAACAAAGCTTAGAAAATGCCCAGTAGAGGGCTCTTGTGAACACGATAATGAACAAAAGGCCAGGAATTTCATGAATACCTCAGCGTACCGTCATCTTCTCAAGAAGGGCTCTATTCCACGTAGTTTGTTAGTGGCATTAAAACGGTGACAATTTGTAGTAAATAATATTATTCTTTAATAACATATTCTAATGCGATATTGTGCCTGTGTATTCCATGTTAACATCTTAACAAAGTGGTCGATTAGGTCTGTAATTTTATTACATACCTTTGGAGACCATCCAACTTTATTATTTTCTGATTCGCTATTATCAAGTATAAACTTACCTACACGGCGAGTCGAATCGAACGTCCGAAGAAGAGCTTAAAACAGGGTAAAGTGGCTTCCCTCCTCTTGCCATATATAATAATCTTCTCAATTGTAAGATCTACCGTATGTTCACCACGTTCAGGCCAATCTTTATTTCTGAGACACGGTATCATTCGAAAATTCGCGAGACGGCCAGAACTACGAAAACAATGCAAGATTGACAAGAATCTTGTTGAGGTTGTCCAGAAAATGGTTAACCTCTGTAGCTGACATTTAATATTCTGAAGAATGTAAACATGTCGATACCCGAAATAAAAATAAGTTAATTACATTTAGAGGAACATGGCCTATAAGAATATTTCGTTTTTCTTTGATAATAAAATATTTTAACAAAACAGACTTCTAAATTACTTTTGTTGAAAAATAAGCTATGAATAACAAAGGTCTTTTATAAAACTAAATATATTTCAACTGTGAAACTGTAAGACGAAAAAGACAGCACAGTTTGGCGGAGATGTTACTTCAAATTCAAAGCCGTGTTTAAGAATATGGTTTTCTTCCTTCCGAAAAACTCTATCTCAGTGGGGCGGCATGGGTATATAAATCCTCTAATCAATGCAAGAGTTATAACATAATAACAGATAAAACCTTTATATTGAAAATTCTGTCGATGTACCTGCAAGTAACTTTGATTTTAAAACGAACAATTCTTTGTTTTTCACACGTCTAAATAAAGATTAAAAATATGATTACTGAAAACCGATAGGGGGAGACGGTATAGCTCCTAATTTATTCTTCTAATTCTATCGTTATCAGAATTCTTTTTGCCTTATGTTCAATTAAGAGGTTCTAAAACTTTTCTAGTCCTGGGGCCATATTCACTTTTTGTTATCGCAGAGTCGCAAGTACAATTAATTGAAACGCCATTGAAACTTATTAAGCGCAAGGCTTCCTATAACCCTCAGTACACATTAACCTGAAGATGAAAACGTGAGTGTTTGCCAAAATGGAAGAAACCTACAACATCCGACGCGGCTTATCTCGATAAGCCGAAGTCATTCGTTGAAATCTATCCAAGAACGAGTGTGATAGTTTTTAATCAATGCAGAACGTTCTTTCATACATGAAAATAGTTTCTATACGTTTTATAAGGCGTTTCGTGTGAGTGTTAGGCCTATATTTCTTGTATTAAAATTACGAAAATATTTAGTAGAAGCAGAAAGTAACAATATGATATTGAATTCATTATTTCCATCATTTTTCCAATGTGTCACGAAGTTATTCATGTAATTCTTGTATAATTTTATCGACAGTGTTATTCCTTCTTTTGGCGACTTATCTGTAAACCTTCCTTGCTAAAATCTACAGCTGAACTCTTAATAGAATACAGATACAGCGTTCTGAAGACAGGGCAGATAACGAAAGGAGACACCGGGGTAAAGATATAATGAGTGTATCCGACCTCTAAAACAAAGCTGACAGAGCAGCCCACGTCATAAATTCCTTGTGACATCCTTCCTGGATCACTTTATATACTCACAAGTGGCATATCTGATACAATCACAATCATCAACAGCGCACGTAAAATCTATTAGATCAAAAACAAAAAATCTACGACCGACGAGAATACGAATATAATATCATAAATACAAAAAGAAATAATTATGCATTTACAGAAAATGAATAATGACAAATTTAGATTATGATTTAAGTATGTAAACATCGAGAAACCGAGGTTGAAAATCCAAGTGTCGATGTCTCTAGCACATGTGTTAACTGTTTACAATCACTGTGCCTACTGCTGGGTATAAGAAAGTCCAGTAGGACATTTTCCAAATTCGTTTTACATTTCACACTCTCAGAACACCAATTACAGCTCACTTTTTCTTTCCCAGATAAATCATTAATAATGAAAATCTTACGTTATCTTGCACATTTATAAATTATTTCCACACAGTGTGAATATTATTTAACAGTTTCTTAACAACAGAATTCTTAATATTACTGTCTTCTGGGTTGTTGCGCTGTGTAGTCTGGTAGATGTTTACCAACGTTTCAGAGGCCATACTGCCTCCGTCATCCTCTGAAATGACGGCAAACTTCTGCCAGAGTATAAGGCGGTAGAACCCAGAAGACATCCATCTTTAGACTCGCCGCCATGAAAACCTCGAATCTTACAACAGAATTCTTCGCAAGTGTGACATAAAAATGGATCCGTCCGGAAACACATAAGAAATAGTTGCCTACCACTATTTAGACGTCGTTAAATGTCATTTTACAATGTATCTTTAATCGGGGATCAATGTTAACTGTGAATTATTTCTAGATTGCCTGCTGCCGCCAGGTAAGATTTGTCAGCCCCTTCTGACAGGAATGGGCGCCGTTGAACCACCTACCGGCAGAGCACTGAAACACATTAAATAAAATCAACTCATACAACTAATGAGTTTCGTACAAGTACAAAAATAATCGAAGATATAAATGTGACGTTATGAATTTATGGCACCAGAAATAAAATCACGCATTGAACAACAGACGCAAAGAAATCTAATGAAATTTTCAATATAAGTTTGGATTAGAAAGTGTCTAACAGCGTATTGATTTTAAATTACGTTCTACTAACCAGCTGGTAACGTTTTCGATGCCATCGCAGCCTCCGACGTCGTCGTTGAAGGCATAACCCTCTCCACAGCTATAAAGACGTGGTCTACTGTTGACGCAGATGAAGTATTTCTGACAGTCAGCAGGATTACGGTAGAAGCGGTAGTCATCTCCAAATACACCCGGAGCTTCCGGGCATTTGAAACCAAGGAATGCTGTGAAGTTTAAAATAAGGCATCTGTAGATCTGTGGAAACTATATTAACCATCGATTTTAAAAATAAATAACTTCGCTCTCAGAACAAACATTCCTAAGATATGCCGCTTTGTATTATTGCGATATAAGAGTTGGAGCCAGAGAACAAACATCTCTGTCTACATTTCTCTCTATTATAGACTCCCTCAGTTTCAGTGCCTTGTTCTGTAGACTGACAAAGTGGTGTGTGTACACAATCCACATAACCTGCATCTATGGACAACAGAAAGGTTAGCTGTTTCTGACGGAATCAACTACAAATATTCACTAGAGGGCGGAAACATGTCAAACCTAGACGCATTATGCGGTAATGTTTAATAAACTGTACAAATATACCTAAACATAATTCTATGCAGATACACGTAAACATAGTTCTGACAACTTTTATATAAGTTCTGTTGTACATTCGGCACCTTGTTTATTGAGCTTGGGTGAATAGCATTCTACTGCCACTGTTCTGGGTACAGACTGGTGGCGGGCTCTTGTGAACGTGTACTGAAGCTTCGGGTTCCATAAAACGCGGCGAATTCTTGAAACTGCACTTCTTATCCATGGCGTTAGTTAATCATTCTACCGTTCAGTAATCACATTTTTGTTTCAAAAATCGGTGTTAGTCTTTGTTACATAGCTGAAACATCTGATAGACAAATCCACAGGCAATTATTCTGTATCTGAATATGGGTTCAGTATTCACATTTTTGTTTCAAAAATCGGTGTCTTTGTTACATAGTTGAAACATCTGATAGACAAATCTACAGGCAATTATTCTGTATCTGAATATGGAGCAAAACATTTTCTGCCATCTAACCTTCCGCATCACAGGATTCAACTTCGTCTGGCCAATCACAGCGGTAGGAGTCCTGGTTAAAGGCGAGTCCTTCAGGGCAGTCGAACACGTATCCTCTGCCGTCCACACAGTTCATAAACTGACCACAATTCCTGTTGTCACCAAGCCGAAAATAGCCATATTGATGAGGGCAGTCCCCTGCAGTGAACTTCCTTGTCTCTGTAACACGTGTTCAAATTATACTGTAAATTAATACTACAACAATGATTGTGAAGTTAAATACACAACTGAACGTATTTTACAAGGTTTCTATTGATATTATAAATATGAAGGGACTTCGTTAATATTTATGCCATACGAACTATCGGTAACATTCTAAGTGAATACCATTGTTAGGTAGGTTTGAAATATTGACGATATTTCATAACAGCTCCGTAGAAATTATTTATATTTTCAGTACTGACATCAGTTTTACTGAATTCCCTCGGTATTTTTAGGAATTTCAGTATTGAAAATGCTCCGTTTCACATTGTGATCCTGTTTATAAAAATAAAACTAACAGACTAGTTTTTGTTAAGATTAGTTTTTGAGATTAATATTAAATACAACAAAATGGCGCGGTCGAGTGGTTAGCAGCATGCTTCATATTTGGGAGGTCCTAGTTTGAATTTATTTCCGTGCCCTTTTTGCGTCACAAATTGCACATCGTTGGGTAGATTATCCTCTTCTGTGCGTTAATTCTGAGACAATTCACCACTGCAGAAGTTGGTCTTCCGGGTTATTGCATCATATAGACTTTCGACGGTACACCAACGTTTCAGAGAAGACCAAAATTATTGCACCGTATAGACTTTCGACTGTACACCAACGTTTCAGAGAAGACCAAAAACTTTACTCACATTGCCCTGGACACCTCAAACTATAGACTTTGCTACTACTTCAACCAGAGATAAGCCTTATATTGTGGAAATAAGTTACATAACAATATATTTAATAAACAGAAATTAAATGTGAACTAAAGACACTACAAAATACTACAGGTGTATACTGACGCAACCCGGATCGACCCTCACAGTCCACATCCACAGGATACTGGCAGGGGTAAGCGAAGTACCGTGCCTTGGCATTGAACAGAAGGCCGTCAGGACAGACGATCTCTTCAGCCACTCCATCCTCACATTGGACGTACGTGTCACATCGCGTCGGGCTCGGAAACCTGCCATTTTTCTCCGGACATGACAGGCCACCTCCACTTCGCTGGCTCAACACTGTAACCAGAAATGTTTGTTCCCTCCTATAAAAATGACAAGAGAGATTATATTTTACTTGGTGTGAGATTTCTTGACTAACTTAGGTTTTCGAGTGTTGAAATTAAAAAATAAACGTATTTGTTCTCAGATAAATGAAGTTTGATTCCATATGCCACAACATATTTTTAAAATGTTCATGGAACGGAAATCTTCTTCTCTCAATAGCCAAGAAATTTCACATCCTGTTATAAAACGAAACAATTTATTACCATGCTCAAAAGAACACGCCACTGAGCTCTATCCTGAACGAGATATATCGACACCACACCGTCATCTAATTGAAAACAATGCATGTAATTAATTATACATTTCTTAAGTGATCTCCTCCCTTTAGGTTTACGGACTAAACTCTTTTTCTTCTTTTTCATGTTCTCATGCGTATTACATATCCCCTACCTCATTATCCTTTAATTAATTAATATTTTAATACAAGATGACAAGTACAAACTATGAATCTCCTCATTACAACATTTCACAATTCCCTTCGTAATTAATCCCCACTGGTTCTAACATTCTCTTCAGTACCATCTTATTAGCACCCTCGATACATAATATTATCTTTGGGTTGTAACGTCGTGAAGTCTTGTAGGTGGAAAGTTGGTAATCATCTATAAGACAACACGGAATCACAATCCAAAAGAACACAATCGAAACCTTCAACGCCATGAGAACTTTAGAACACTCAGTTCTTCCCTAGCCATCTCATAAAACAGGATACGAAACAAAGGGAAATCCATAAGAAAAAGGTATTACATCTTATAAACAAACGAGAAGAAGTCGCTAGTTGCGAGAAAATCACTAATACAATAACAGACTATCAACTTAAGTGTACACCATCGTAAGAATTATCCAGCGTCCTTCAATCACCCTGACTGTAACTCATGCCAGCTCGATCAGAAATGCTTTGAGGGAGTACAAGCCTACAGGAAATAAGGGTCATAACTAACTACTAACTAGCTGGCTTAGGGAACCCGAAGGTTCATCACCGAATTAACCAAAGCCCTCCACCGGACCCTGTCCTGGGCTAACAAAATCCAGTTTCCTTCACCTCCTATCTCCCATAGATCCCGCCTGACATTATCCTCCCATCTACGTCTAGGTCTCCCCAGCGGTTTCTTTCCCTCAGGCTTCCCGACCAATACCCGGTGCACAACCCTTGCCCCATTCAAGCTCGCTACATGTCCCGCCAGTCTAATTCTTCTTGACAATGTTGGTGGAGGTCAAGTTTTTAAGCTAGACGAGGGTCATGCGTAAACTAAATGCAAATTTTAATATCATCCCAAGAGTGAGTTGCAAATAAGGTTGTCGTAACAAGGAAATAGATTGGTTTTGTTACGAAATAAGCTGAAATGACAATTTTAAGGAAACTACTGAATACGAATTAGTACACTAATTAAAAACTGTTTTATTTTAATTAATTTAAATTGAATATTAAATGTAAATAAATATTACTGTTGTCCTTGAGAAAATATATTATTTAACTGTGGTTTATTTAACGACTCTGTCAGTAGCTCTGATATATAGTGTCGAATGATAAGGTTGATATGAATTGGAAAGGATATAAAAGGAAGTGTTCATGACCCAATGTGTAATACTATCCCGGCATTTACCTCAGAGGACTAAAGAAAACCACGAAATCCCTCACTCAGAATAACCCTCTCTCCGGGCCGAGATTTGAACCCGGCACATGTCGAATAGGAAGTAGGATGATCGATCCCTGCATTAGGGAAAGCGTAGTGTGCTATATAGGTAAGTCAGACTGGAACAAACGACTGCCGATTGCACGCAATGTCATTATTTTATTAAACATTAGGAACATAACCTAAAAGAAGTCTTTATTCCGGAGTTGTGCCACAGAATGTCACCGTGGTTCAAAAGGAGACGAGTATAAGATTTGGTGACAGACGAAGAACAGGAGCTGAGGACAGGTTAGGTTATGTCACGAAGCCAGTAAGCACTGTTTGTTTGTTTTTCCTGTGCCATGACGTCACGTTTGAGGTGTGCTGGACAAACAGTCGAGAGTGAAAGTGGCGTAGAGATGCTGCAACTAGCTACAGCTGTACGAAAATACCGTTCATCTTCTCTTTTCCTTTCTTTTATTTTTGAGGGTGAAGCTGACTCCGTTCCTCAAGAAAATTACGTTTATACTTCATACGTTTTATATACACAGGGCGGTCGAAAAGTCACGCTATCCAATCGTCACCCAAATTCTGTCAAAAATACTAATCGCATTGAAATTGTAAAACAACGTTATATTAAGAGTTGGAAATGTCCAGACTTTGATAAAGTTTGGCGGATGTCGTCCAAAATATCGTCACTTAACACCGAAAGTCGACAGGAAAGGTTTTTGACCTGCATGTTTCCTGTCATGGAGACGGTTCACCAGACGAGATATTGTCGATTTCTTTGGTACAGGAGAATCGGGAAATGTTTCCCTAAACTCACTCTGACAAGTCAAGAAAGAACGAGATTGCACGTCGTGTTCGGCAATTCACACTCGTTGCATTTATGAAAAAGACGTCCTTGTACTTTGACCGCTGAAAGGCAAATGACGGACTTGCAAACTTCAATCAATATTTTAATACGGGTTGCGTGACTTTTCTCTTGTCTGCATTTCGCTCATGTGGAATGTTTATGTTGAACATGGCTAGAATATGGAATGAAATAAACTTGAAGAAACGGAGAATTACATTCTTTCCGAAACTAATCTATAATTTATTGCCGTAAAATGATAAAGGCTTACTGTATAGGTCCATGTGTCAATCCAAAATATGTGGCAACATCACTTTACCTTGCTCTGCTCAGAAGTTTGTGGGGTTGTCTATGTAAAACAGCATTTTTTTTTATTAAATTACATTCCTAAATTCTCACGCATCACTGTTGTCTGATAAATTTAACGTCTTGGCGTGATTTCTTGTGGTTCATATAATGGCTCTTCTACGAGGCTACGTCATGTTTTATATTACAAACAATTCATGAGTCAGTTATGCTGTATATTACTCACACAAAGAGCTAACGGACTGTTACGTGTTTGTACAAAACAGGTACGTCCTACAAATCGGTAACTAACACTTGGTTAACTGAGCCCCCTGTTGCACTGAACAAGTGGGCGAATTCGTCCTTCAAAACGCTAGTTGGGTGTACATTACGAAACGATTTTACATACCACTGTCATTACATCGTATGCAGAAATTTTGAAAAGCTATTAACATTTACGTGACAAGGAAAAAGAATTTTCAATGATAAATGAATCTCTCATTAAAATGTGACTGAAGACAAGGTTCCTCTGATTTAAGATCAAATTATTATCATCAGATGACGAATTCGCGTCACTGCCAAGTGGTTAACACACGACTCTGAATAAGGTTTTCCTCAGTTCCTCCAGGCAAATGCCGCGGTTGTACTTTAAATAGACAACTATTGCTTCCTTCATATATATATTTTTTCAATTATTCATTAATCATCTTGTCTGTTGACAGTACATAGTCTGAGCACCGTCATGCAAAAAATCATAAATATATACATAACAGGTGCTTTTGGACTATCTACGTCACGATTTTGTTAAACAGGAAATGAGGCAGGCATCAGCGCGCGCACACTCCCATGATGTAACAGGCGTTGCATCACGTGCGGACTGTTTGTTGCGCAGACATTAGCCAAAGGTCGCATCACACGCATCTCTCGCTGCGCCTTCGAGACATGCAAGCATTTGGCGGGGAAGTCACTGCGAGGCCCTGGGCGACATCGATTAGAGAGGCTCCTTTGCGAATAAATGCATTCAAAGCAACATTTTATGAACGAGATTTAAAAAATTGTCGTTTACTGTCCATAGGTCATAATCGAAAACTTTCTCAGTTCCCTTTTCATTGTTGTTGGTCTCAGACAAAAATAGATGTGTAAGGCGAACTACAGCAACAATATAAAAGGAAATTTCGAACAAGTACAGGTGTGAGGCGCGCAAGACCGTGGATCCTTGTCCAATTCTCACCTTCACCGCCATTACACCTCTTTAAACTTCATCATCGTTCATATCGAACAAAAGACACGAAGTCCTGCGTGCTTAAGACAGAACGCGATGAGAATAACGCGCAAGCACAGATTATATAAAAAATATCGAAATCTAATGGTTACACAACTAGTTTATAAATTCCTCGCTTTTATGGAACCCGAATATTCATTACTGAGTTCATAAGAGATCGCCACAGAACTTTATCCAGAACCAAATGAATCAAGTCAAAAACCTCACACTATTTCTTTCAGATAAATTTTAATATTATCCTCTCATATGCGCGAAGGTCGCCATAGTTATCTGTTCCCTTCAGTTCTTCCGACTAAAGTTTTGAATATATTTCTCATCTGTTTCATGCTTCCTACATGCTACACTCATCTCATTCCTTTTTCACGATCGTAAAAACTACAAAGTTTCTCATTACGGAACTTCTTCGAGCCATCTATCTCTTGATTTTGGATATGTAAATACGACAGAAAAAATCGGAACATTTTTAAATTTCTCACAACCTTTATTGTTTGTAATAAGCGTACAAAGTCCTCGCTACTTGCGTCCAAAACAGCACTGGACAATGACCACAGCTTGTTTCAATCTTAACCAAAACTTTGGGAGAAATGCCCTTCATTGATTTGCAGTTTATCATTGGTTCTTGGGTGAATAAATTAGCACATTTTGGTTAACTCCATAGAGTCAAATCGCAACTTGAAAGGCCTCTGGAGTCTTAAGTGGCCCAAAACCTTGAGAAATCAACCTTTCACCAAAGGACTGAGAAATGTAGCCTAGTTCATGGACTTCAGGCTGTGTTATCAGTGGCGCTGTCGTGTTCTGGGTATCTAACAGTTGATTTTTCATCATGTAGCTTTTGAATTAATATTTTGGTAATTAAACTGATGGAATGTTTGCGTTATTGTGTTATCTAAAACGATTGACAACCCTTCTACACACTGCACACCAAATACCGGTTTTTTGTTCGTGCAATGGACAGTCCAGAACTGTACCACATTTTTCTACAGTCCAGCAAAGATCACTTTTAAGTTTTGCATAATCTGACAAATGAAACCATTCTTCGTCAGTTGTAAACTTTGGGTATCTAACTGTATGGCGGTTAGCGGTCAAAGAATTTTGAGACCAACGAAGCAATTCTACGCGCTTACCAAAAATAATGACCATTTACACGAAAACCCACGTCAGTGTTTTAAAGCCTGAATGAAAAACTTTCTACAAAAATGTCTCTTTATGCTCAACTGATGACCTACCTGATGAGCACACGCTCTTTTAGATGCGGCAATGGTTTTATAAAGTTAATTTTCTCTCCACGTTTAAGTGGAATTACAGATGCAAATTTGTTGAAAAATATAAATTATAGATTTGGTTTGAAATTTGTAGCTTGGAAACTTTTGCATAAATACAAGTCATGCAGATGGATGACGCGGTTTTTAAATTATTTTCAGTAACAGAACACTTTTCTAGATTAGGCTTAAAGTTTGTTGAATCCGAATTTCATCAACAACGGAGATGACGAGATTTTCTAGAGCAGTATTACCTCAATGGAAAATTAAAGTTTCATTAAGAGGCACGCGAAAACAGGCTATCACAGATCCTGTAATACGGAATATGTATCATGACATATGTCTGAACAGAAAACTGTTTCAGACAAGTCAAAGTGTTAGATGCATAGTACCAGAATTTGTTTCTAGATCTAACGACCGTCATATTTTGCAATTATCTTTATAAATGTACGCAAATAAACAGAACCTGCTTTATGTAAGAAATTTCATAAATATTATAATGAAGAGATGTCATAATACATTAAAAGATGTGAAATATGAAAAGAACGTATTCATATTCTGGAAATAATTACATGCAGAAACGATCATATTTGGTTCGTGAAATTGACTCTGAATCAAGTTGTTTTAAACCTCGACGCCCTGAAAATGTGTTTGCAGAAGCTGACAGTAAAACGACAGATGAGAATGGAGAGAGAACGGTACAGAACGAGAATAAGACGTGAAAAAGACATAATGAGGCGACTAAACAAAATTGGCAAACGAGAAAATGCTGCAGTCCGCTACATCGAATTTCAATGCAGTTCTTCCATCTCTCCTTTAAGACACGAGAGGCATGCTGTGCCCTAAGATGAAACTCCCGCTCTTATTTCATTAGTACACCTAAGAATAATAGGGATTCCAAAGTCTTACACGTTATTTGACGACGGTGTAGCAACTGCATTAGTTATTTACTGTCGAATTATATGAGAAGCTAATCACGTTCGGTGGCCTCCACAGACAGAACTAAGAGAGGCCGCTGTAGACTATTCTGAAGTACCGTGCTTACATTCATGGGAAACATGGAAAACCTTAATCAGAAGTCTAAGTCTGCCTAAAGAGAAACACGGAAAACCTTAATCAGAAGTCTAAGTCTCAACCAGGATTTGAAATGGACGTTTCCAGAATACAAATCAGGAACATTGCTGCTTGAGCCAACTTGCTTGGCTTTAAAGAACAGCAATAGTTCACAGTTCTTGTACAACAGGTCATTACAAATATGGTCGATATATTTTAAGGTTGTCAGTAATCATTCGACATGAAATAATAACAAACTTTCTTCCATCAAGGTTACTTCTCACGCGTAAATCACTTGGACGAATAAAAACTACCGCAGGGCACAGACGTGAAACGAATATTTCGTAGGCAGGCCCAATGAACACACGAACGAAAGCAACGGATTCTAGCCTCGCGCCATCTTCGTTTTGTACTGACTTGCGATTCGTTCGTCGAGGTTATCAGAACTTGTTATTTGTTATTGGTAAGAAACGTGGTTTTCTGTTCCAAGGGAAGAGCATAATTTGAAGATGTCTGAAAACACGTGCTAAAGAGAAATCTCTAAAAGGAGAAGGAAACGTTGCACAATGCGAAGCCTTTTTTGTATAGTAGTCACAAGGTATAATTAGAGTGGTCACATTAATAACAATTAAATGGGCCTATAACACGCCCGGGAGAGATGGGAAATGTCAAGGTACACAAGAAGTATTTGGAAACCCTGAAGGGAAGACAATTTTGAGCAACGTAGGTATAAATATGAAAGAATGATATTAAACTGATTATGATATTGTTGATTCGATTCTGCTGTCTCAGGATAGGGTCCAATGGCGAGTTCTTATGGCTACAGTAATAAACTTTAGATACTACGAAAGACAAGAAATTTATTTACCAGCTGAGTGACTATCACCGTCTCAAGAAATACATTATTTCATGGAATTCTGTTACTCTGGGAGATGGGTATTGTGTTTTGGATGTCTTCTATCCTAAACAAACAAACAAACTAACTAACTAGATGGCTTACGGTACCCGAAGGTTCATCACCGAATTAACCAAAGTCCTCCACAGGACCCTGTCCTGGGTCAACAAAATCCAGTCTCCTTCAACTCCTATCTCCCATAGATCCCGCCTGACATTATCCTCCCATCTACGTCTAGGTCTCCCCAGCGGTCTCTTCCCTTCAAGTTTCCCAATCAATACCCGGTGCTCACCTCTTGTCCCATCCATGCGCGCTACATGCCCAGCCCATCTCATTCTTCTCGACTTAATCACCCTGACAATACTGGGGGAGTATAAATTTTTAAGCTCGTCATTGTGCAGTTTTCTCCATGCCCCATCGTCTTCTCTCCTAGGCCCAAATATCCTCCTCAACGTCCTATTCTCAAACACCTGCAATCTGTGTTCCTCCCTCTGAGTGAGAGACCATGTTTCGCACCCATACAAAACTACGGGCAACATTATTTTGTACATTTTAATCTTCAGGTTATCGTAATTGCACTGAACAACAAAATTCAATTTTCCATTTCTCATATGACAATAATAATGGCGCTCATTTATGTGACCTCTGATTCAAAAGAAATAACTGGTGGTATAATTTAAGTGTATATGAACACAAATCACGTATGACAGGGACCGACGGCAAAGACGAGAAGAAATGTAAAGAGATACGTACAAGATCTGTACTGGTCACCGGTCTATAGTACTGTTAAGGGAAATGAACCAAAAAGGCCAAGATGGATTCGTAGCAGGCAGGACGCAAAAACCCATAACAACATCATCATCATCACGGCGACGGAACTTCGGTTTCCATAAAAGGCGAGGAACTTCTCAACTGGTTGAGCGTGGGCTAGTAACAGATTCTCAAGAAGGCGTCTGCTACATGGAGTTATGGCAGAAAGAGACCGTGCCCTTGGCCTACTCCAAGGTATTATCCAGACACTATTCGGAGGGGTTGAGGAAAATTACGAAATCAAGATCTGAACTGGGAACCTCCCAAATACGAAGCCAAAATACGAACGCCCGAAACTTTCATTCAAAAGGAATAAGCTTGTAGTTAACAGCCGTGTCATTTCAAGTTTCTGTTTGCAAGCGACTTGCATTCAAGCTACTTAGCTATTGTGAACGAGGTTAAATGAAAGTGCTCAGGGTAACGTCTCTTAATAGGAGGAAGAGGAACACAGTACATAGAGGCCTGTGTTATTATCCGTATAGCCACTCATTAGCAATAGTGTGAATACTTAGGATGGCAACAATAGATTATTATTATTATTGTTAGTGCTTGATTGTTATCGGCCTCCTTTGGTTGTTGCCAAGCACTCTAATAAATGAATTGAATTGAATTATTTATTTAATTTGTATTTTTTGTTGTAATTTGTATTAGTGTTTCCAAGAAGAGATAAAATGAAGAAGGCCATCTTCTTGGATACAGCACCGTGTAGTCTGGTATTTTTTGACCGACGTTTCAGAGTAGCTTAATGCCGCCATTGTTATGGCGATCACCCAGATGATGGAAGCAATACGCTTCTCCGAAACGTTGGCCTTCTGATGATTGAGGAAGTATGCACCTCTGAAACGTCGATCAGGTCTGTCAGACTACACGCTGTGTCTTACCAGATGACAGCCAACTTTATACTCGTCGCCGTTAGAATCTTTAATCTCAGACGTCACTTCAGAAATCCGAGACAACTGCGTCAAACGATCAACTCACCCTGAGCTGCTAGGAAGGCGGTGGTGGCGAGCAGGTAGCAGAGCGACATGGCCACAGGAGCACTACTTGACGTATGAGAGGCGCTCCGCCCAGCGCATCGCATCGTGCCTCTGCTTCGGTGGCGGTAAGGGGCCTCCATTGGCTGGACACCAAGCCTGTAAACTGATTGCAAAACACACCGAACACACGTGCTTGTGGAATGCAAGCAGGCTTTCCTTCTGGGGTGTTTACCGTTTGTTTAACGACGATGTCTGCAGTTTAAAGTACACAGATTTTCACGTAATTGCAATAAACTGCCAGTTACTGTCATCAATGAAAAAAATATTTTGTGTGGTTTCCTTGTACCATTTCATATTTTAATATTGTTAAGACCACAATTATCGTACAAATCTTCATGATCCTACACTACCGCTGATGAGAGCAATGTTAAAAAAACAAATATGGCGTCGAATCGGTCAAGAAGACACGAGAGACGCATATTGATACCATGGGTCATCGGACACGGTTATCACTCCTGCTTTGCATTCAAGTGGTCTCCGCTGGGAGACCGGATAGGCCTATTCCAACTGGTGTTCTCACGGTTCAGTGTCTGCAGGAAGCGTACCTTTAAACAGGACATTCTTTCTAACTTTTCCTCCACATGTCGTTAGACGCTGTTAGCATAAGAAGTTGGTCCACCGGCACAAGACAGACAAGCGATAAAACAATTTATTGCGTCTCCATATTGTGTAACATTTCGTTGTGATAACCATTTGAACAAGACTGGAATGGTGTACTCAAAATTCGTTAGGAAAAGTTTTTAGATGCGTTCGCAGCCCAACAGATGACCTGTTGAAACAAATGTGTCTCCGCCCAAAGGCACGAAACAACTCAAGAGGGGCTGAACAAATTTTAATATAATTTGATATTGGTGAGTTGTAATAGAATGTGCCGAAACATTCAGGTTTTGGTTAAAATCGACAGCAGAGTTAATAACACGCTTCTTGTAGGATGAAGAGTGTCTGCGATACAATAGGAAATAACCTATTTGAGTTTCCTATAGTGTAGAGGTAATATTTTACCGAACGAACAGAATTTAAGTTCGCACCACAATTTTTCTGTGTAAACTCTAATACTGCTAGGAAGCGTGAAGGATTTGCAATTCTTTTCTTGTGTTCTAGAGGTAATAGGACTGCTGGCTGGTAACGTTGAGTATTCTACTATCCTATTTAAAATCGCTTGCATGAAAGTCTGTGTAAAAGGCTGGTAACGTTGAGTATTCTACGATCCTATTTTAAATCGCTTGCATGAAAGTCTGTGTAAATACTGGCTACTGTAAACATGTTTAAAAGAATAACGTAAGTGTGAAACGCGAAAAGTAAGCTTCCGCCTACTTTCGGGCTTCATATTTCATATAAACTTTAGGATAACACTGAATAGATCTTAAAGAAATATGGCATGAAGCTGTGGACTAGATTAAACTGTTTCAGGATAAGTTCTAGTGCCTGGCTCTTACAGATGGATCATAAATGTCCCGCCTTTCACTTAAGCCAGTTTAATTATCGGATTTACAAGACCCCGTCATCTATCCCTGATAAGAGTCAGTGAACCCCGTCCACACTCCCCTCATTACGATTAATAACGGAGCTAAAAGACACAAAGGCTATAATTTTAATTAAAATTTCATTACCAACAAGAGTGGTGGTATAGAATACGAACTGCGTCTTGCATGCTGTACTCCCAGACTAAGTTGGTTGCTCAGTTAAATGGTTAGTTACTTTTTCTTACTTGTTTATCATTTCACTAATTTCCATTGTATTTGATTAATTTGTATCGAGTCTTTCGTCTGCTCCCTTTTCATTTTAATCAAGTTTGAACCATCTCTGAACTGGGCCTACTCTCTCTACATTCCTTGGTTTACACTTTCAAATTAATTCTAGAGACGCTTTCCATTGAAATATGGAAACTTCTTCTCATCACTTCTTCTTCTTCTTCTTCTTCTTCTATGGCTCTCCGGTCCGTATTCGGTCCATGGCCTCCTCAATTCTCCTCTTCCATTCGGTCCTCTGTTAGGTCTTCTCATCATTGTTTTACTAATTTTCATGTTGATAAATCACGGCTATATCCGAATTAGCTTCGAGGGACAGAAATAATGAAAATCTTATACAAAACAAATCATCATAAACAGTTATGAGACTATTACTTTAGTCTACACTATTTGTTTTCTGACCATGCAAGTTTTCTTCAGACAATATACGTGGAGATGCTTAGTAGAACCATATCCTTGAAGTAAGAATAAATGTTGGATCCTTATAATCAGTCCACACGCGTTCCACTACACAAACCAACATGATGAACAGCAAAACTACTCAAAGCGCGTTGGATAAACACCACCAATACAGAAGGTTACATGACGCAATAAGTGAAGAACTACATTCTTGTAAAATATTGTCACACTCCAAGACACACAACTCAAAATAAAAACACATCTGAACTCAGCAATTTGTGCTGACAAACATCCTAACTGATTTAACTAATTTTAAAATATCTCATGCAGCTTTAACTTATAATTTTACCATTAATTGAAACGACATCGGGAGAATGAATAAGTAATTGTCCAAGTGCAATATGGCCACATTACGCTAAACCACGCAGTTCAAAAATAAAAAATGTATACTGTGTGTAAAATCGACTGACAAGTATCGATAAGAACCAACACACCGAGATGATACACTACACACTTGAAAAACTACACATCTACATTGTATGCTGCAGACCCTATGGAAAAACATCAGTGTACATAATAGTTTGTGGAGGCATCAATCGCAAAACTAGTTCATGTTAATTTTCATAAAAAAAATTGTCAACTAGCTCACATATTAAAATCTCATTATTTTACATCTGCTTCGCATTTGGGAGGTTCCTTGATCGAATCTCGGCCAATACACCAGCTAATCAGACTTCCATTTGGGAGGTTCCTTTATCGAATATCGGCCAATACACCAGCTAATCAGACTTTGTCGATGTTTCTAGCAAAATGCTGGGATAGGCCACTACCCTTTCTTATACTTTCTTCACAATTTACAATCCGAAATCGTCTTGTCACTTGATGATATATATTCTTTCCGACTGATAAAGCCTAGTATTTCTACGTGCAGAACCCGAGAGCTTGAACTCTGCCAGTAATTGACAGCTCCACTTTCATCACACTATACCACTTTTCAGTGTAATTGGTATAACCTATTCAGTTGATACAGCACACTAGAAATAAAACCTGTTTTCACATGAATTACTTAAAATTGTTAAAGCCACAATATCTGACAACTTGACTTTTATTCAACCAACGTGTTTCAATAAACGTCGAGTAATGTTTAATTCAATTTAAGTTAGGTTAGGTTTAAATCATGTTAACGCTTTGAACACTTACTTTGACGGTTCTTTAGCGTCATTGGATGTAAATCATAATAGTTTAATAACTGTACAACAGAGGTAGTTTTATAAATAATTTGCAGTGTTCCTTTTAAGCAATACAGGTATTTTTGTGTTACCTAAATAGTTCTGTTCGGTTCGGCTTTGGGGCACTATTGTGGATTACAGGGAAGAATAACACGGGTGGACATGGTGACATTTTCTTTAAAAATATTAGCTTGTCAATTGCAGTAGCATATAAAGTCAGCAACGCATGCATGTCGCGTTAACATGTAAAGCACAGCGCAGCGGCAACTCCTTGCAGAGAACCAGGGACCGAACCTGAGCCCAGAACGGTGTACCCATGGATTAAAGAAGCAGTAACAGAGAGGCGAAGTTCAAACGCCTGCCACACTCCAATTCGACACTCCCCCCCCCCCCCCCCCCCCCCCAAACAGTTGCCTGCGTCATGTATAGAAGCTACAGCATTCACCAGTAGGTTAACAGGACAAGGAGAGCCCCATGATAACTTTTCAATTCCGCCGTGAAACGAAAGATTACGTGAACAGGACGGCTTCTTCGGCTGTTACTTCATACCGATGGAATGCAGAAATGTGGTTTCTTGCTGTAGTAAAATGAAATTAGGCAATTGCTAAACAAGCATATAAATACAATGCCTACCAGAAACTAGTTTAAACTAAGACTCTTAAGATGACCGTCTTATGGGCTATAGCGCCATGTTGTCCGGTAGAAGTTCACCAACGTTTCAGAGGTCCTTGCTGCCTCCATCACCAGGGCGATTAATCGTTGCTATTTTCGGACTCGCGAAAACGTCAAATCCTCCTTAACACTAATTACTTCAAGAGAAGTGAATCTTCCGTAAACAGCAAAGTTTCAGAGGAACATACTGCCTTCATATTCTTGGGATCGGATTAAGAAATTATTTTATAAATTTCGCGACCTCTCATTTATGCATTCATGTATGTCTTTAGCACAAAGCAGGCATGAAAAGAAACATCGTAATTAAGTAGATTCAGGGTTAGCATGATGACAAAACATCGAGAGGGAGGGAGGGAGAGAGAGAGAGAGAGAGAGGGAGAGAAGGGCATTCCCTAGTGTCAAACCGTACAGCTCCGAAGGACATTCAGTGATTTGTCGCTATATTTGTGAGGAACCCCGATCATGATGTTGAACAGAAAGTTGTTTTGTACATCCTAGTTGGTAAATTAACGTTGACAGATGAGCATCGTCTTTGATATTTTCATAAATCAATTGCAGGAGCTATAGAAGGTATAAAGTAACGGAACTTACAACTTTAGTGGTATGGACGGTCATGTTGACCTTGAAGAGGTCTGGAAGCAATGGTCTGTGGCTGTAACTTTCACTAGGCCCGTTAGCACATGGGCCGCTGCGGAAGTCATGCGCGAAAATTACCCTTTGAGGGGCATTCCCTAGTGTCAGTATTCAATGTAACTGTGAACACGAAAACAAACGCCAACTGCGCAATCTATTACAACCTTTTAAATAACACTGCAATGGAAAATGGTTCCCGTTTAACAGATCAGAATCTTTTTGGCCCATTCGCAAAGTTCTGGTACTGACTTCACCATGTGCCTGTCCATTGACAACACGTTAACAGCTGAACGTATTATCGTAATATGGGAGACTTTTATTACAATTTATCTACACGTGCCAATTTTGGTTTCAGTGCCACAATTTTTGATCAGTATAAGGTACAAGACTTATTTTGAAAGGTAACAA